GACATAAGTATGGGGTTTTAATGTTAAAATGTATGTATTAAAGTGCTTAGGGAGGTGTAGTCACTCTTATATCTAAATGTATCCTACCTGTCCCGTAGCCTACATTACAACCAAATAAAGTCCTAATTGATCCAAGATTGAATGAGCTCGATTAGTGGAGTAGTACACTACGGGCAAGCTTATGGTGCATCTTTTGTGGCATATGAATGTTATTTCTGAGAGTGAATGAATTCTTTCTACCTTGAGTTCCTAAGTGTTTCTTAAATTTTATTGTGTGGAACTACTCTCTTGTGTTGTGTGAGGGCACTTGATTCATGAAGGAAAGGTAATGTCAGTGACCTCTATATTAGAGTAAGTGGGTGAGTTGTGAATAACGTGTGGTACTTGTGAGTCAAATCTTGAGGTGAAGATGTTACGCTTTTGTGCTTAGTCTATTTTAAATACTCTTGGTGTGATGAGTTAGGAGAATTGTTTAAAAAGGTCGTGTCTATAAAAAAAGTGTAGTTTGATTGCTCGAGGACGAGCAATGGTTTAAGTGTGGGGTGTTGATGATAGGCTATAATTGCATATTTTAGTCGCTTATTACACTCGAATTTACTGCACTTTAATTGAGTTTGCGCTTTAATCGCTAGTGTTTTGCACTAATTGTGTGTTTTATGCCTTGTAGGTGTGACTCCGAGCTATATAGATGTTATGGAATGAATTTAAGTGATTTGAAGCTTTGAAGTCTGAGTAAAAGCTCAAGGAATTAAGTCGGGATCGTGTTCGGGGGTCAAATTTGATTATTAAGTACGAACGAAGGCTTGAGGAGGCATATTGTGCACTGTCTAGTAAAATAGACATAACTTTTTGATCAGAACACCATTTGGGCTCCGCAATATATGGTTGGAAAGCTAACTCAAAGGGCTACAACTTTCATGTTTTGCGTTTTTCCAAATTCCAAACGGAATAGGGAGAAAAACCGCGATTTTGCCGCGACCACGGTAGAAGATGGTCGCGGACAACTGAAGAATCAGAGGGCATGTTTGGCCGCGGTTCCACCGCGACCGCGGCAAAACCGCGGCAGGAAGCGAAAATTTCAGGGACTAAAGTGCAAAATATGGGATTTTAAGTCCTAAACCCTATATTAAACAAAGGAGGCCGGCCAAGAACAAAAGGGGGGACATATTTTGGACACAAATTAGACCTAAGGAGGCGGAGAGACACTACTTTAAGGTTAGACAACACCCTTGGAGGCAAGAACACATTGGGAGCAAGGCGGAGAATTCTTCTACAAGTTTTTCCTTCCTCTTCCTATTTTTCATTGTTGGTTATGACTTTTAGTATTGTAGTTTTACATACTATTATGAATAGCTAATTTGTTATCTAGAGTTTTGATAGAACCTTTTGTAGGATAAATTCTTGTTATGTTTTTATATAATTGAGCCATAGCTTTTCTCTATTTGTTCAACTACGTTTATATTGTGGTTGGTTGAAGAGCTCTCAATTAGCTGTGCCTATTTAGTATGCATAACTCGGGAGAGAGTGCATATTTAGGTAATTGTTGAACAACACCACTCCCAAAGTATATGAGGGATCAATAACCGAGGGTTTAAAGGTGGGATTAGGGATAACGAAGCCTTGGGTGCGATCTGAAGTGAGCTGTATTAAAAGCCAGCTAGCGTAGCTCGGGAGAGTGCGTCTAGTAAATTGTCGTAATTACTCGGGAGAGATTTACGGTAATAAGAGTGCTCATGATCGGTAGAGAATACTTAGGCGAAATTATAGAAGACATAGCGGGAAGGATTCCGACAATTGGGGAAATCATAACTCTAGACCTCCTTAATCTTTTCTCTAACCCTCAGTATCGTTAGTTATTAATTTACTATTTTAATTTGTTAGTTAAGTAGTTAAACACAAGAATCTTAATATCTATAGGTTAGGAATTGTTCAAGCTTGTCTTCTTGGTGATAGTGAACAGCTGTAGCTAAACCTTAGTTCTCTGTGGGATTCGACTCCGGACTTGTAAACCGGATTATATTTGCACCGACCGCTTAGTCCTTTTTATAAGGCATAGTTGGGCGTGATCAACAAGCCAACTACATAAAGAAATAAATTAGCGATGAAAAAAATATGTAGTTAAATAATAAAAAATTATCGCTAGTGACTGATCAAGTAAAAAAATTGATCAGCTACAAGATGAATTTCGTTTCTAATTCCTATTTTTAAATTTACATTATGAAATAAAATTTCTTACGAATAATATTAGTTTCTTTTTTAACACGGGTTTTTATTGAGGTAATTTAGGTATTTATGTAAATTAAATTTCGGTAATTAATTTTTTATCACAAATTAATTATTAGTTTTCTCCAAAAATAATTACTCTTCCCTAGAACCTAATGTTGTAGAAAATTTTGAGAAATAAACGAATTTAACAACCAAGCTTCTAAGAAATACTTTTCATTTAAATTTTGAAAACAATAAATAAATCATCTGAATGGGAAATAAAGAGGCAAAATTGGTTTTTGTGATTAAACAAGGACAAAGAATAGAAATATTACACAAAATCACGAAGTTTCCTTGTTGGAAACTAACGAAAAAATTTTCTCCTACATTTTTGGATTCTTTTATTGTCTTAATATTTTGTATCCTTATTAGGAGAAGATATCAAACACTAAATTACTTACACTCTATTTGGATCATTTTTATCCATCGTTTCATAATGTATTGTATTGTATCATATGGTATCGTATTGTATCGTTTTATGAATACAACGTTTGGATAAATTGTATTGTCTGTTGTTGTTAAATAATATTTTGTTGTTTGGTTTGACCGTATCGTACTGTACTGTAACTAATAAGTTTACTAAAATACCCTCAATTGTTTTAAATATTAAGAGCCCGTTTGGACATACAAATTTTTTGCTTTTTTCCAAAAAAAAAAAAAATCGAAAACAATGTTTGGTTATCCATATCTTACCAATTTTTCCAATTTCACTTGAAAATGCATTTTCAAATTTGAATAATTTCAATTGAAAATGCATTTTCACTAGTTTTTAATTTTACAAATTTACCCTATACTTTTAAAATTTATAAAATGACCCCGTCAATTATTAACCTACAACTACCCACGTGTTTCCCCTCGACTATCAGATGAAGCTACTGCAGCGGATAATGAACCCTTTTCTTGTGACGACTACCATGTTGCTAAACAATAGCATGTTTGATTGTTTATTTCAAGTAGTATAATGAAATTGGGACGATTTTGATATTATTTACAAGTTATGGGGTATAAATCATATTTCATGGTTTTGCAAAAAAAAAAAAAAAGACATTCAAATATGTTGCAAAAATTATAACCAAACACAACTTCATCTTCAGTTCAAATTTTAGTGAAATTCCAAATTTAAAAATTTATTTTGGAATTCATGGCCAAACACCTACTAAATTTATCAAGAATTACGTATAAAAGTAATTTCAGAAAATCCCTTTCTACTAAAATCAAAGTTTAACTATCACTAGAAAAAAAAGAACGATGATAGAGAAACGAACGAAGACCGTGCAGTTGGCAGAACAAAGGCAACAACAACCTACCCAGTATAATTCCACATAGTGGGGCCTGAGGAGAGTAGTGTGTACGCAGATCTTACCCCTACCTTTGTTGAAATAAAGAGGTTGTTTTGAATAGACCATTGGCAGAACAAAGGAACGAAGATAAATAAGTAACACTATGTACACTTGAAAACAACCAATAGTATACAGCTAATTGGAGATTAAAGTAATTAGAATTGGAGTTAACATCAAAGTAGGAGAAAAACGAAACAAAGAGAATGCAAAACCTATTCATACTACCTTTGGCGTTGGAGTTGTGCATAGTAACCGGCAGAAGAAAAAAAGGGGACGAAGACAAAGTAGGTTAAAGGTTGGAGATTTGGAGTTAAAAAAAAGGTAAAGGGTAAAATATAATTTTAAAGTAATAAGTTAGGGCATAGTTGGAAAGAAAAATAGGAAACAATCCCACCACACCAAATCGGTTGTTTCGAAAAATGGGTCTTTTCAATATTCCAGAACAATGAATTAAACAATACAATACAATTAATTTTAACTAAACAATCAAAACAAATATTATTTTGGGATAGCAATACAATACGATACAATGGGTAACAACCATCCAAACAAGCTGTTAATGGGGTATTGCCAATAGAGTATAGGAAGGATTTCTTTTATTTTTTTTTTGTTGGTGAAAATAAATTTTTTTATTGATCACCATGAACCCAACTTACAATGTAACTTCAAAAAGAAAAAAAACTGAGAAACATCAGCTCCTACAACTAGTCTTTTCCTAGGTGCCTTATTTCTTGCTATCTGTACAGTTCTTCTATCCATTCTCTAGCCTTGTAATGTTGTCCTCTATTTACAATCTTGCTTAAGTTGTTTAATTATCTCCTGTGGACGGTGCACCGTTAGTTGCCATAGCGCTTCATTCCTAGCGGACCTAGCCTTCCAGATTCCATAAACAAGTGTTGCTAGTACAACCATCATAAAGGATCTATTCACTCTTCCCTTCGCATTTCTCGTGATTCTTCTCCACATGCCTTGCATCTCTGTGTTTCTCATGTGAATTTTCAACCATTGAAGGACTTCAATTAGGCATATCTTAGAGAATTGGCAATCAAACATTAGGTGCTCTACTGACTCAGTTAAGCTCCCACATAAGAGGCATGTGATATCTTGGCATATTCCCCAACCAACAGATGAAGTTATGTTTGGGTACATTCATATTGTTCCATACCCATCTACTCTCAGACCATCTTGGTGCACTCCCTTTAAGCCAGCTATACCCCCCCTCCCCCCCCACCAATTGTGTATTTGCCATTGCAAGTAAGCCATCCATTCTGGATATACCCAGGCCTAATTTATCTCTCATTGTGCAGATTTTTTTCTTCTAATACCAACAGCAGTCCTGGAGATGACTATATTCCCACCAATCCCTCCCCTTCAGGTACATGTGATCAACCCATTTTACTCACAAGTTTTAGCTATATCCCATACATATTTCTTTATTGCTGCCTCATTCCATTTTACACAGTCTCTGATCCCCATTTCTCTTTCCTTTTTAGGTCTAGTAACAACATCCCATGCCATTAGAGGTGTTCTATTTGTTTCTACTTTCCCGTCCCAGAGGAAGTTCCTCCGGATTGCTGTAATTCTCTTCACCACCAGTTTTAGAAGAATGAAGATCGATGCCCAGTATGTATGCACATGCATGAGCACTGAGTTAATAAGTTGCACCCTTCCTGCATAAAAGAAGTTCCTTGTCCCCCATCCCCTGATTCTACTAGTTATTTTTTGTGCCATTGAATCATTGTCTATTGCTGATATATTTCTTGCTGATATTGGGACTTCTAAGTATCTGAAAGGAAGTGTCCCCTTCTCGGATCCTGTTAATTCACATAAGTCTTATAGGCATGACTCCTCCATGTTAGCATTGAATATATTAGACTTAATTTAGTGTATAGTCTTGATGATTGAGAGAAAGTTTTCAGGCCCCTAAGCATCAATAATACTGAGTGAAATCCCCTCTGCTGAATAGTAGAACATCATCAGCAAGACATAAATGGTTGAACTGCAAGCTTTTGAATTTTATGTGGTAGTGGAATCCTTCCTGATTATCTACAACCTTCATAATCCTTGTGGAGTACTCCATGCAGATTACAAACAATAATGGGGATATGAGATCCCCTTATCTCAATTCTCTTTTGCCCATAATTTTCCCATACATTCCTCCATTTAGAGCGAATGTGTATTGTGTTGTAGTGATGCAAGCTATTACCCATCTTATAAATTTTCCTGGAAAATTAAGAGCATATAGAATTTCTTGAACAAACTCCCACTCGACAGTATCATAAGCCTTCCGAATATCAATTTTAATGAGATAAATTTTTGTAGAATTCTTTCTGTCATACAATCTCACTAAGTCTTGGCATATAAGTATATTCTACACAATGGTTCTGTTTGTCACAAATGCACTTTGATTATGTGATAAGATTGTAGGAAGTACCTCCTTGAGTCTGTTGCACATCATCTAAGAAATTGTCTTGTAGTCTGTGTTGCAATATGCTATTGGTCTGTAATTACTAACTCTGCATGGTTGCTTTTGGGTATGAGAGTGATGACTGTGTTGTTCATTATTTTCAGCATCTTACCATTATCAAAAAATTCCAGCACTGCAGCACATATATCTTTCCCTACTATCTCCCAGTTGTCTTTAAAACATCGACTTTCATATCAATCAAGACATGGGGATTTATCTCCTGGAATTGCCCATAAGGCTTGTTTAACTTCCTTTTCTGTGAAGTCTGCCTCCAGCATGCTCCTCTGTGACCCTGACGATGTTGCGCCTTTCCTAACCAAGTTGCTATTGACATGATCTCTTTGTGTAGCTTTTTTTCCCAGCAGCTCTTTGTAATAATCCATAAAAGCTATTAAAATCTCTTCCATTTCTGTTTTTGTTTCTCCCATGGCATTTCTGATTGTGAATACTCTTGTTGTATTCCTTCTACTCTTCATGTAATTGTCAAAGTATTTTGTATTTTGATCACTTCCCTAAAGCCATTGTACTTTACTCTTCTGTTGTAAGAATAATTCCCTTGCCTTATTCCACCTCCCGCATTCTTGAATTAGCTTGCTTTCCTCCTCTAACAGTGCCAAGTTTCGCGGATCCTGCTGTATATTGCTTTGACATGCTATCAGATGTCTTATTGCTTCTTCTGCTTTCATTTAAACATTGCTAAATCTTGTTATATTAACTCTTACAGAGCTTTTTTAAAGGTTATTCAGCTTGCCAACTAACTGGGACATCTTTGTGCCTGGTAGGGATGTAGTCTAGTTGTTCTTCACTTTCTGCTTGAATGATCTTGTATTACTCTGACTTCCTTTCTCCTATTTTATAAGTGCAGGACATTGGTCATACAACCCCTCATTCATGAAGTGAACCTCTGAAGCTGGCAGTTAAGTAAGCCAGTCTATTTTGGTCAACACTCTATCAATCCTGATATACACTATCAACCCTTTGTTGCTTGTTATTCCATGTGTAAAAGGATCCCGATGATTTCAATTCCTGCAAGTCGCATAGGTGTACATATTCTGAATTCCCTCATTTCTCTCACTGTGGTTGCACTTCCTATTCTCTCATTAGAATTGAGAATACAGTTAAAATCTCCCATGATTGCCCATGCTCCTTGTATCTGGTTGTGTATATCTTCAATTTTCTTCTATAGTGTTCTTCTAAGTTCCTGGTCATTGAAGTCATACACCACAGCTGTACAGAACCCTTTACCTGTCCCTCTATGTTTTACTTCACAATATACGAGTTGATCAGTGACACTACCAATGTTAACACCATATATTCTAGGATTCCATAGTATCCAAATTCTCCCTCCAGGGTGATGAGACAAATTAGTAACAAACAACCAATTCTAACAAAGATTAAGAGAAGCTGCAGTTGCTTTGTTCCTCTTAATCTTTGTCTCCGGTAGGCCAAACTAACCAACTTTAGCATTGTGAAGAAATAAGTGAACCTCTTTCTGCTTTTTTGGTTTGTTTAAGCCTCCGGTGTTCCAGAATACTATATTATCTATTGGTAAGGCGATGACCCCCACCCTGACCTAGTCTAGGTCCTGCAACTACCAGTCCTCCCCCAAGGTGAGAAGTGTTGTCTTGTTCACCTCTAGTATGTGTATGATCCTATGTTTTCGGATCATTGAAAGCATCAAATGTGTTCCCTGTTGAGATTACTTGAGTTCTAAGGTCCATCCCCTCTTTCTCTATGACACTACTTTGTTCAGTCACATTCCTCTTTCCCTTTTCTCCAACTTGTTGCCATGTATATTGCTGTTGTATACCACGACCAGCCCCAGTATTTCCTTGTTGTTGTTTCTCTGCTTCTTTTGGAGGAGCCACTGTTTTGTTCTGTTCCTCCTTGTCCTGCTTTACTTTCTCTGCCTCCTCCTTTTGTTGTTTTCTACATTCTTTCAACTCATGCCCAAAGTTTTTGCATTTTGGACATAGTGTTGGTTTCCATTCATAGTGTATCTCTTGTTCCACTATTTTTCCATGTTCATTTTCAAACATAATCGTTGAAGGATGTTTCTGATTCAATGAAATTTCTACCAGCACTCTTGCAAAGGATAACTCCTCCCTTTGTGTTGTTGTTCTGTCGGTTGTAAGTGGTTTCCCTGCCAATCCATCTATCTTAGTCAATGATCCATTCCCCAATATTTGACATCCAATCCTATTAGTTGGATCCATACTACTTTATCCACCACCTCCTTTTTCAAGTCTATCTCCGGCTTTGTAATGACCTGGCCGGTCGTTTTGAGAGTTTTAGCCACATTCCCCTATTTACTGCTCATTTTGTACTTTACAATTGTTATATGACTTGTCAGGTTAGTCGGTTCGGGTCCCGAAGGATTTCAGAATGAATTTAGATACTTAGTCTCAAGGTTGGAAGCTTATGTTGAAAAGGTTGATCGGATGTTGACTTATGGGTAAACGACTTCGAATTGGAGTTTTGGTGGTTCCGTTAGGTCCGTTGGGTGATTTTGGACTTAGGAGCGTGTCTGAAGTATGATTTGTAGGTCCTAGTTGAATTAGGCTAGAAATGGTGAAAGTTGGATTTATGGAAGAGTGGACTTTTTGATATCGGGGTCGGATTGGAGTTCCGAAAGTTGGAGTAGGGCTTAGTGTCATTTATGACTTGTGTGTAAAATTTGAGGTCAATCGGACGTGGTTTGATAGGTTACGGCATCGTTTGTAGAAGTTGGAAATTCCTTAGTTTATTAGGCTTGAATCTATGTGTGATTCGTGCTTTTGATGTTGTTTGATGTGATTTGAGGGCTCGACTAAGTTCGTATGATGTTTTAAGACTTGTTGGTATGTTTGGTTGAGGTCCCGGGGGCCTCGAGTTGATTCTGGATGGTTAACGGATCGAAAGTTGAAGTTAAGGGACTGTTGTTGCTGAAGCTTTCTGGTGCAATTGCACCTGCGGATCATTAGTGGCAGGTGCGAGCTGGGAATGCATAGAAGTGGATTTTGGACGGGTGGACTATGGAGCGCAGATGCGGGACTCGCACCTGCACTTGGAGGGTTGCAGAAGCGGAGGTAGGAGTGATGAGCTGGTCCGCGGAAGTGGCTTCGTGTGCATAGATTCGCTCCCGCAGAAGCGATCGGTCGCTTAAGGGATTTCCGCAGATGCAGATTATGGACCGCAGAAGCGGTGCCGCAGAAGCGACTATATGTCCGCAGAAACGGAATGACTAGGCAGAACATATAAAAACAAGGGTTCGCGATTTTTTCTACATTTTGGACATTTGAAGCTCGGTCCAAGGCGATTTTTGAGAGAGTTTTTAGGAGATTCTTGAGGTAAGTCACTTGTGCTTATTTTTATTCAATAATCTTGTTTCCCCATTGATTTTACCACCTAAATTATGTGGTGTTGAGGTGAAATTTGGGGGTTTGAGGCTAGGGATTTGGAGAGTTTGATTTGGGGATTATGGTGACGATTTGGTGTCGGATTTTGGTAAATTTGGTATGGTTGGACTCGTGGTTGAATTGAATTTTGGGTTTTGTAGTTTTTGTCGGATTTACATGGGCCCTGGCGCCGGCTTTGGGCTGATTTTTTGCTTTTGATTGATAACTTCGTATTTTCTTGTGGAATTGATTCTTTTAGTCCGTGTTGATTGCATTGCAATGTGTGTGGCTAGATTCGAGGCATTCGGAGGCCATTTTGCGAGGCAAAGGTGCATTGGAGTAGAGTTTGTGTCGGGTTGAGGTAAGTAACACTTCTAAACTTGGCTCTAATGGTTCGAAACCCCGAATTATATGTTATATGATTGGCGTTGAGGTGACGCACATGCCAAGTGACGGGCGTGCGGGTGTGCACTGTGAGAATTGTGACCTAGTGGATTCCATGGCACTGCATAGTGGATTTATCTTGTTGATATCTGTGTTTTCATTATGTGATAAAGTAGTTGAGCTGTCAATCATGCTAGAGATCATGTTTAGGCTATATGTTGGTACTGTTGGGACCTATAGTAGTGGTTTCTTGCTGTTGACTTATTGATTTCATTGGAATTTCGTACTCAGTCATATTCATTCATTACATATCATATCTCAGTCTCTGTTGCTATTTATTGATACATCATATCATCATTTTCGGGCTAGTTTCATGATATTGTGAGCCCATGAGAGAGAGAGAGAGAGAGAGAGAGAGAGACTGGAGAGACTGATGACTAAGTGAGGCTGAGAGCCTGATTATGAGTGACATTTATGGGATCGGGCTGCACGCTGCAGCGTGTTTTACTGATTTATGATAGCGCTTGGGCTGAAGGAGCACCTCCGGAGTCTGCACACACCCCTAGTGAGCGTGGTTAATTTATATTGAGGGATGGATCTTCCCTGGATATGGATCTTGTCCGAAGAATTTATACCTGGGGATAGTTCTTCCCCACGGGCTGGATTGGCCCTACCCAGTACTGAGTGACTGATGGTCAGTTGATGTATATATTTCTGGATGGATCTTCCCTGGGCCGGGTTGGCCATATACAGCACTGAGTGATTGAGCATTTCGAGAGTGTGAGCACACGAGGTTGTCAGCATGGTGCATCACATACAACATATGCATTGGCATGTAGAAGTAGAGAAGTTGTATTCTTCACATCATTTAGAATTGATCCATCTTACTGGTATTGAGTTTAACTGTTGAACTTGAACGCATGTCTACGTTTTTGTACTGTCGTTTCTATATTGAACTGTACCGGTTGAGTTCATCACTACT